GACCCAGAGGAGCACTGCTGGCTGCGAAACCGATCCCACCAGGCTGGAGAGCCCCGTGTGCGCCCAGCAACACAGATTTAAAGCTTCATTCTTTGTTCCTCGGGCAATGCGTGTTCAGCTGTCAGGTATCAGGAGGGAAGTCCCTGTTCCTCCTCTGGGGGGTGAGGGAAGGGTTAACGTGGGGAGGAGACGAGGTTGGCAGACCCCCCCTGTGTCACAGCAAGGAAGCGGTTAAGCCGGAGGTGCCACCTGGGAAGCACAAACAGGTCTGAAGATGCTCTGCCAGTTATTTCGCTGTGCAAACAGCTTTTCCTTCCTGTCCCACCACACCACCTCTCCGTGATGCACTAATTACCCAAAGCACACAGCCAGACAGAAAGGAAAGAAGAAAGAGAGGAAGGAAGAAACAGCGGATCCTGATGTTGGTGCTCCCAGCAGCAGCGCAGGGAGGGAACAGACACTGCTGCTCTATCTGCCCAAAAACAAAAGAGGAGACCTCGACCACGTGTGGATTCCAGGTTTGCTGATGGAGAGATCAAACCCTGAGGCTCCCAGGTGGAGGAAGCCAAGCACGGGGCCCTGCAGGGTGGACACTTCAGCCGCCCCATGGACGTGGCACTGCGGGCTCTGCACCGTTCCCACGCGTTCCTCCCTTCTTGCAGGAAGGGAAACTGAGGCACTGGGGGATCAGTGCGTGGCCCTGAGCTGTGGTGGGGAAGGGAAAAGCAGCACAGTTCTGCTGCTCAGACCGCAGCAGCCAGGCACTCGGCGGCAAAAGAGTTAAAAGCTCCGGGCCGAGCAGTTTGTAGCCCATGGCTCCTTTTCCCCCTCTCCCTCCCCGCTTCACAAAACCAACCCCGCATTATCAAAAACCTGCCTGGAATCCTCTCAGCCAGTGACACAGAAAATTCACATTGCAGAGGCTGCCAGGGTGACAACAAATAGCAACAGTAAATACAGCTGCCTGGGGCCGGCCGCAGCCCTGCCATGGGCAGCCGTCACGCTCCAGCTCCGCTCTGCACTGCACTTCCAGGGATGGGGATGCTCTGCTGCTGCCTCTGCTGTGGGCCCTGCTGGGGCACCTGCATCTCTGGGAGCTCTGTGCCCACCACAGCCGGGTGCTCCTTGAGCCCATCTCCCCCTCTCCATCCCTTTCCTTTCCATCCCCTCAGAGCCGGAGTTGGGGCACGGATGAGCGCTCCCAGCTGCTCCACAATCCCCAGCACCCTTCCTCGTTCCCACACATTCCCCTTTTCCTTCCCCTGCAGCCACCGCTCGGCACATCACACCTCTGCCACGCTCACATTAGCACCAGGCAGCCAGGCCCATAACCAGCCATGCTAAAGGACACATACATTTCCCTGTGTTAATTTTTTCCCCGTGCCATGGCAGGCTCCCAGCCCTGCTCTGCATATCTGATGTTTATTTTAACTCAGTCACCAAGTGGAAGCCATATCCCTGCAGTTCCTGTTCTTAATCTCTGCTTTTCTCCCCCTTTTTCCTCTCTTTTTACAAGGTTTATTTGTCACTGAGCTCATGGAGGCCGGACTGAGGCCAGTTGGTCGCTGTGGGACCCTGGGGTGCTGGTCATGCTGCTCACCTTTTTGGTGTCCGGGTGGGGATGAACCTGCCCCAAAATCAGCCTCACAAACTCCACCTTTAAGGTCAAAGCAACGACCAGAATTAAAAGTCAATTAGATGAAGATGGGAAATGCTCCTTTGGCTTAGCAGGGGCACAGAGTGAAGCCTGGACACACGTTGGTTGATGTGTTACCAACCCACTAAAGGCTCAAAAAGGGAGGTGCTGCTGAAATGGGCACAACCCCATGGTCTGAAACCACGGCACGATCCCCCCCACAGCAGCCCTGTGCCCAACAGCCCAGCTTCGGGTCCCTCCTGAATGCTCCGCAGGGAGCAGAGCAGCAGCACCGCAAGGGCGGAAGGAAGAAAGAGCCAAGGCAGGAAAACTCCTTCCCCATCATATTTACTGAACTGCTCTGAGTTATGACTGGAGGCCAAGATCTGGCTTCAGGCGATTGCCTAAATCATTTAGGAGCTGACAAGGTAGGGAGGGGGGAAAATGTTCTTGTAATTCTTCAGTCTGAGGTACATTAAGGAGCCATAAGCCATGTCGAGAGCTTGAATTACATTAGAGAGATTATCCTGTTACAGTTCATAATCCTGGATAATATACCATCCCGCAGCACACCTGCCAATGATAAATCTCGCCCCGTAATGGGGCAGCCGTGACCCCAGCGGTCCCAGAGCCCTCTTGGCACGGAGCAGTAGCACCATGCAGACAGATGGAGTCGGGAGGGAGCGCACAGCAATAACAGCCTGGCAGCAGTGTGGGGGAAATTCATGGCTGGGAGCTCCACACGGTCCTCACTGAGCCACGGCAGGGAAAGGACACCGTGGACACCCATAAGGGATGAGGACATGCCCCAAAGAAAGGCTGAAGAACACAGAGCCAGAGGGAGAGCAGCATACAGCCAGGGCAAGGCTTCTCTTCAAAGGTGGGGACTGCTGGCACAAAGCATGGCATGTCAAGGAGAAATGGGGAGGGATGGGGCTGAGCCCCAAAGGGATGAGGGACAAGATGAGCCGGAGCAAAGAGCCCAACCCTTCGGAGCAGGCACCACAAGTAAAGCTGTGCCCTTCCCTCAGCCCCTGGGGAAAGCAGATTGGCTGGGGAGGAGCTGGGACCTGCAGCCCAGAGACCCTGGGATGGTGCAGCTTCCTGCCCAGGCACCTGGGAAAAACCCAGTACTTTCCACGGCACGATCCTCCCTGTAGCATCCTGTAAGGGGCCAGCAAGCCTCCCCTCCAAACCCTGCAAACTGCACCCAACCACCCACCAAGCACAGAGGTGGCGCTGATTTACACTGACACCCCAAACACAGGGGATGGGGCCATGCCCACCTGCTGCTGGACGTCCCACCTGCCGTTCCCTCCTGCCCCTCTCCAGCACTGCTGCCCGCTCCCCGTGCCCTCGATCTATTCTCCAACAGCTCACAGTCTGATCCGTGCCCGTGCACCACTGCAAATGGGAAACCCCCCACGCATCCCTTCCCCAGCACCCGTCACCTGCCCAGCCCCAGCTCCTGGCTCTGCACACTGTGAAGAAAGAGCCCCTCTGTCCTGCGGGGATTTGCAATTTCCCCGTGTCCCCGGCGGATACTTGACAGAGCCTCTTCTCTCAGGCTTGTGTGTTTTGTTTAAGTGCTTTGAGATAAAGCCCTTTTATCACGTTAAGAGCCTGGTTGCCCTGGTTTCTTCCTCTGGCCTGAAGGCCATTCTTTTCCTCCCTCTTGTTTTTGACCTCAGGTTCAAGAGTGCCAGACCTCCCTGTGCTGGAGCAGACCTCAGGGCGGGCAGCAGCGCGGTGGGAAAAGCGTGGCGCGGGCTGCAGGCTGCCCAGCTCGTCCAGGGAACAGCTTCCGACTTGTGCAGGAGTGGGGAGGAGAGAAATGGGAGATGGAATTAGCATTGCTTCGGGCCTCCGCTCTGCTCCCTTCTCCTTTTTCTCCCTGCAGTTTCCCTTTATTTACCCCTACCCTTCCCCTCCGTCCCCTCCGCTCCGTGCTCTGCCCCTGCCTCTCCTCCTTTTCTCACCCATTTCGCTTTCCTTCCCTCCTTTCTCTCTCCCTTCCCCTGCGGCTTGCCAACTGCCAGCAGATGACATCTCCTTTCATGTTTGGGGCTGAGCGGAGGCTCTGAATGTTCGTTTGATTCCGTTAAGATAATAGCTGGTTCACTGTCAGACGCAGACTGATCAGTTAAAACCTTAATCACTGCCTGTCTACTCACATGGCACTTATTTTTTAAGAGATTAATCCCCTAAGCACTGCACCAGCATACATTCAGGCTCAAAGAAAAGGGTGGGTTTTTATTATTATTTGATGCGTTTACTGTTGGTTTTTGTTGGCTTTTTTTTTTCTTTTTTTCCTTTTTTTTTTTTTTTTTTTGCATCCTCCTCCCAACTCCTTTTTTATCTGATTCTCAGAAGACAAACGACCCCCAGCGCCGTCCCCTTGTGCTGAGCATCAGGGAGATGGAGGCTGTGCTGCTCTGGGACGTGGTGAGCTGCAGACAAAGCCCCACGAGAGCTGAGCCCCGTCCACGTTCCCCACTTTGCTGCCTGTTCAGAGCGCACAGCACACAGGATTGGGGCAGAGCATCCCCAGAACCCCTCTAGGAGTGGTGCCACCCCACAGCAGCATGCCCAGAACTCAGCCACCAACTGCTGAGATAAACCACAGCCAGCTTCCACCTCCTGCACCGCCGCTTTAATTGACGGAGAGTTGCCACGTCCCCCCTGCACTGAGACTTTGATAGCTGCAAAGAAAGAAATGGTTGCCATCCCAGTTTATCCCGGGGCAGCAGTAAAACCCTGCCTTTATGCAGCACCTTGCATTCACAGAGATCCAAGTGTCCTATGGATGTTCTTCACCTCCTCACCAGAGGAAATGGGCACTGAGCTGGTTTGCCCCAAACCCACTGCATCCCAGCAGCTGCCACACTGCGCTGCTCCTGTCCTGTGGAGCTGGGCTGGGGCCGACCCACAAGCAGGGTCCTCCTTCAGTGGCACCAGAGAGGGAGGCAACGTCTCCGAGGGGAAAGGGTTTATGTGAACCTTTCCTTCCAATTGACTTGTGAGAAAAAAAGGAAGAGAAGGAACAAAGCCCAAGGTTTGCTTTAGCACTCAGACCACAGGTTCAGGAAAAGTAAATCCTTTAGTAAGTCTCAGGTGACATTTTTCAGCCTCCCATTCCCTGGGAGAAATCAAGGATTTCTGCATCCGTCCCCACACTACCATTCTAACCCTCACCCTAACCCAACCCTAGCCCTAAAGATAACCCTAATTCCTAAAGCCCAACCCCAACCATAACATCCTAACCCAACCCCAACCACAATGTCCTAACCTCAACCCCAACCCCATCCCCATCCCTAACCCCAATCCCAACCCAAACCCCTCCTCCACCCAACCCCACACCTGCAGCTCCATCAATGTCACCAGCTCCTGGATGGAAGAGGTGGGACTGCTGGCAGCAAATGACGGCTCAGAATTTGGCAAAATAAAGCTGCAATTATACGAGAAGTTTTTGTCAGCTGCCTTCGGCATTTCCTATGTAAAAAGAAAATACAGTGAGGGAACAGGCTCTGAGTGTACTTTGGCAATTTTGGGTGGAATAAAACAAAACTGTCAAAAGAATCTGTATTTATAGGTGGAGGGAGAATTCACCTGCAGACCCGACTGCTTACTCCCCAGGACATTCCTGAGGCCGAGGTGCAGCGGGTTTGGAACAAGGAGTAAAGAAAGACAAATTGAAATAAACGATATCCAGAATCACACGGATAAACTTTAAGAAAGCTTAGAGAGTAAATGGATGAAAATTCCTTGCTGCAAAGGATAAAGCAATCTCTAACTAATGGAGATTAGGCAGGAACTCTCCCAAAGGACGAGTTATCCCATAAATTAATAGAATCAGCAGTGTCACGGACCCGAGCTGCAGGGTCCCAACTCATCACACTGAGTGCCACCAGGGCTCCTCCCCCAGCAGCTGGGGCTGCCTGCCCCTCCAGCCGGCCGGCCCGCGTTCCAGGGCGATGCCAAAAAAAGGCCATAGTAGTAAATGAGTAACAGCACATGAATCTTTTCTGGAGGAAAGGGTGTGAGCTCTAACTGAAGGCTGACTTTGAATGAATAGGTTAGAGCTGGCAAGCCATTTCCTAGGTACACACAAGCCTCCAGCCAGGCGGGCAGCCAGGCAGAGCTCCTGCCAACACTGTCTGCACAGATACGAGCTGTGTTCACAGCAAATGCTCCTCTCCTGCAGATCTGAGTTAACACACCTGCTTGCAAAGTGGCCTGATTCCTTCTCGTGGAAACAGCAATCTGAGCTGCTGGTCCGGCCCTTCAGGTGGGTGTGCGACCCCCCTGCACTTTCCCTCTGCCCTGAGCTATGTGGGTACACAGGCACAGCTGCAGCGGTCTCCTCCTGACTCACGCTGCATGGCAAGCAGTCACAGGGTTATTTATTTAGAGCCCTCCATTGTTTAATGACACTTTGGCACTGTTAATGAAATGCAGGCAGTTGTTTTATCACAACAGCTACACCTTTGCTCAGAGCTCTGCACTGTCAGACGCACGCTGTTGCATAGCTACAGTCTACGGGGGCTCTTAATCTACCCTGGAAAGCAGATTAAACGTCTTCCTCTCTTATCAAACTGCACGGGGATCCATCCGTGCCTGACCCTGGTGCTGGGACCCCCTCCTGGTGCTCGACACGATCCCTCTGCTAACACAGAGCCCACCAGGACCCTGCAGAAAGGCACCTCGTTAGTAACAAAGAGGAAAACCATCCTCACTCAAACGAGCTCACCTCCTAAACATAGCAGAACAAGAGCTAGCTGCCCGTGCCTCCCCTGCCCACCATCCCTGTGCACAACCAGCACGGCACGCCGCAGCCCCGACCCACACCTGGCTGTGAGTGGGGCTCAGCTCCGTGCTCAGCAGAAAACCCACCCCATCACCTGCAGCCCTGCTCTGTTTCCAATGATTTTTACATCGTTCCCTCCGTGCAGGCAGTGCTTTCCCTTCCACGCTCTGGAATGTGAATGTTTAAAACAAGAAAATCTTGTTAAACTTTTAAGATATCGTGGAAATAACGACCCAATTACTTTGTTGGCTTGTTACTGTTGTTGCTCAGGCTGCGCTTATTGCTTCACAGCTAGAGTTGAGCTTTGCACTTACGGCTTGATGTTAACAAATAATAGCCGTTAATTAACGAAATGCCTCTTGCCACCTTAATTACATACGTGGGCTTTATGTGCCTCTGCGCTCACAGCACTGCTGGGCAGGTTACTGGCACCAATGCACAGGCGGAGCTGCTGGGAGGTGGCACAGAGCTGTGCCGGGTGCCCCGAGCACCACAAGCTCCTCTCCTGGCTGCCATCCCTCCGCCCCGAGCCCAGGAGCATCCCAGCTGACAGACTGACCGCCGAGCTCCCAGGAGGCATTTCCCACACATCGTTGCTGGGATGTACGACGAAAGCCATAAATATCCCAGCGGAAAAAATACGGCGCCTCATCTCCCACTTGTGCTGCTGTGAAGAGCCGGGGATAAATTTCCAAAAGGCTCTTTCCCTCCGAGGGGATAAATCCTTCAGGAGCGACGCACAGAGCAGCCCAGCGCCCCGTGGCCCTGCTGAGGAGCCAACAAGTGGTGGGCTGGGGTCAGGGGCCGCGCGGGGCGAGGATGCGCTGTGCAGGGCCCATCTGCCGGCACACAGACAGCAATCACCCCAAAGGTGCAGCGCGGATCAGGCTCTGGGACTCAAATGTTTCTTCCCCCAGACAGTAGCAATTATCATAATCAAGCAGTTGACTCCAATTACGCCTTCCTCTCATTACAGTCGAGGGGATGGACGCAGCCACAGCAGCAAAGGGAAAGTTCGCAGCCGTGTCGCCTTTGCATATCTTAATCTAAAATGACAGGGTGTGACACGGGGGGCCGGTGACCCTGCCAGCCTTCAGCTGTTCGTGTGGCAACAATTTCCAGCACCAAATTACTCCCAGGCAGGGCTTGATTGGAGGTTCAAGGCAGCAGGAGAGAGAAGCCATTTAGGGGACTGAAACATTCTTCACAGCCCTATTTAAATACAATTTACATTCTGGGCTCTGCTGTTTGTGCATTGTTAATTGCATCTTGTACCTTAGTTTATTTTGTACTTGAAAGGTTTTTTTCTTTGCTGTTGTTTTTCAAAGGCGTGCTTTCTTTCCTTATTTTTTCTCCTTTCTAAGGGGCTGTTGTTCTCAGAATGTAGTTATATTTCCTGGAAGGGAAAATAGATTAGTAGATTTAAAGGCCAGATGGGACGAACAGATCATCTAGATGACCTCCTGCAGAAGACAGGCCAGGACATTTTACTCAGTAATTCCAGTGTCTCCATTTGTCCAGACTTAACCCGATGCCCTGCGCTGGGTAAATACCCATTCCAGAAAGCCCTGGCCTCAAAGCTGCAGTCCCAAAGCAGTTTGTGGTGCCCAGGCTCCAGCCCACACTCACCCATCGCAGGTGGAGACCTGGGGAGCTGCAGGGCACTGCGGTCTTGGACCTGCTGGTGCTCCTTCCCCACCTGTGGGACATCCCTCTTTTCCCCATCCTGCTCCCTGCAGTGCTCTGCCCGCAGTGCAGGGCAGCACGAGCTGCACCGTGTGGATAATGCAGGGCTCACTTTCAGCATTCTTCCTCTCCGCTGTCCGCACTGCTGTTGGTAGGAGGTGGAGCTGCGTGGGAACTCAGACTCAGTTAGACTTAAAGAAAAAACACCAGAGTGGCTCTGGTTTGAGTGGCCTTTTTCATTCTCTTTAAATAAGGCGCATAAATTGAAACAAAAGTATCCATCCAGCTTTTTGCACGGCTGAAATACAGCAGGCAGATCAGACTTTCCCTGTCGCCCTCCAGCCTGCGGATGCTGGCAATGAACTCTTTCTTCGGGCTGAAGCCAACCAGCAGGCCAAGCCCTGACAACACAGCTGGCTTTCCTAAAGTCCCATATTCTCGCACTAATTTTGCATTACCACATGTGACCACACATTGTGGAGGCTAAGAAAAGCCTTCTTTCTGGCATGGCTCTAACACAGGCTGCGTCGGATGTTTTACACAAGGGTAATTCAGTGAGGAGCTCTGCACAGCTGGATTATGGGGCACAGACATTTTCCTCTCCTTGGACCAACTGTGAGCTGCCCAAAGGCTGACTTCTGGCCTGCTGCAAACCTCCAGTCAAAAGTTTTTGCAAGTCCCTTCTCCTCTGCTTTGCAGAACGAGCGATTGCAGAAGTGGAAAATGGGCTTTGAATTTCCAAGTTTGGGTGGAATTTCAAATCTCAGCTCTGACAGTAAAACCGAGCCAAAAAAAACACCTGCTGGGAGTCATCTGTTGGGAGAGCACAGGGTTAAAACCTTGCCGAATTTTTCACTCCTTTTTCCATCTTCTTTTGCTCTTGGGTTTGAAAAGCCCATGCCCTGTGTCAGGGTACTGCGCTACTGGTGGCTGTGGGCTTCCACCAGGTTGAAGGCCAACTCTGGCCTCCCTGCAGTGGAGCCAGCACCCATTTTTGGGTCTCCAGGACTCAGCTTCAGTCAGGCAGTACGTGCCTGGAAACCAAGAAGTGTCACCCAGGTGGCAGCCAGGAGAAAGGCAAAATGCAGCGCCATGTCCTGCCCACGGGAAAGGTGTGATCCTGCCCGGAGTGGCACCCAGCAGCACCGCCAGTTTGCTGCTTTTTTGGCATTCCTTTCTTTGAGCCCCATCTGCTGGAGTCCCGTGATTTCATGACACGTTATCATTCATTCGTTTGTTCACATTTAGAAAAAGGAACATTGTCAGGCTTTGCAGCCAAGGACAGAAGACATAAAGACCCCAAAAACAAAACAAAACAAAACAAAAAAACCCAACAAAAACGCCCCACAAAAAAAAAGAGGTTTAAATCTGCATTACTGCAGGGAAGTCCCATGACCTGAATGCTCATGGAGGGGGAAGTGGGTGCTGCCCTGGTGAAACAGCCTCCAGGGCCTGGTTCTCATTTCCACGAAGGTCCCTTCACACCGGTCTGGCAGTGCTGGAAGCTGGCGTAATGCATAAAGAGGTGTTGGTGTAAATGACAACTGAGCCCACTTGACCCCTCTGAGCCTACTCCTAATTCACTCCAGCTCTGGGGAAGTCCGAGGCTCTGGACAACATGATGGAGAGACAGACCAAAGTGCAGCCCAACCTGCTGCTGCTCCACAGGCCTCCGAGCCAATTACTTTGGTGATCTCAGTCCTCCCTTCCTTCTCCTTTCTCTCCCCCTTTTCCCATCACGTGCTCGCTTCCAGCAAGCGCGCCGCGTCCTCCTGCAACAAAAAGCAGTGCCACAGAGGAATGCGGAGGGTTTGGAAGCCCCCCGAGAGCAGGTAGATCCATCTGAGCGAGCGCTGCCTCCTCCGAGCCAGGAGGGGAAGGCGGGAGGGGATCGGTTTACATAAGTACTTTGCCATATGAAGAAATAATTTAGTGGTATTAATAGAGGTTAAAGTTTCCCAGGAATCCCAAACAGGCCCCGCAGACACAGGTGGGTTCTTTCACTCGCAGGGATGGGGAGCGTAACCTGACTCCCTCCGGCCAAAGGGAGATGGAGGCTGATGGGGCAGAGGCTCTGCTGTGGGGGTCCGCTGCGGGGCAGGGCTGTGGGGCAGGGCTGTGTGTGGCAGGGCTGTGGGGCAGGGCTGTGTGTGGCAGAGCTGTGGGGCTCTGCTGGGAGATGCAGTAACCCCTCCATGTCTGGGCACAGCCATTTCTGCAGGGGTTCAAACTGGCAACGAGACCGAAGGGGAGCTCCAGAGCAAGCAGTGAGGCAGGGATCTGCATGAGGCAGGCATGCAAGCATGGCCCAAGCACTACTCCCATGTGGGGCAGCGAGCACACGGCCCTGCAGGCACATGCAGGGAGGCACAGGCTGCCTGCTGGACGGAACACGGGATGCTCTGCGGTGTGTGTGCAGAGCGCTGCAGCCAGCTGCCCTTTCAGAGCACAGAAATCACAAGCAACCTGGCATCCCCTCCTGCTTCTGCAGGATGTGCTGGCCAATGCACAGCAACGAAACACCACTGATGTCTTCTGGGCCGCAGGACCTGATTGCAGCTAACTGCATAAAATGGCACGGAGCACAGCGGGGGCTGGAAGCAGGAGACTAGCGAGCCTAAATCCCCCTTTGTTTGGGTTGGGATCTGAGATAATGTCTCTGATTCTCAAACATGGAGCTTTTTACAGCCCAGGGAGTTTGAGGCCACCCCAAAAATAATAATCTCTGAAAGCTCAAGTGATTGCAGAACACTCACCCTGCAAGGCATGCGATGCTGCGCTGCCTGGCACCAGTTTGGAGATGGCCCACGGCCTCCTGATCCCAGATCACAGAGCACGTGGCTGCTGTTCTGCTCCGGAAGGGACTAACAAAGAAACAAGAATATTTGTTAATGTACTTTTTTTTTCCACTGAAAAGCAGTTAAACCTCCTAAGACACTTTTTCCAGACATCTAAATCCTTTAAAAATATTCTCTAGACTCCATAAAACTTACATTTTCCCTGGGTTCTCCCGTGAGTTATTAAAAAACTGAAGTCTCTACCTTAAGAGCTTAGAGTCTGGTCATGATCAGAAAACCAACTATGTAGAATGGCACCTTCTTGTGCATTCAGAGACACGTCTACTGACTGAGCAGGGGATATCAGAGAGAACTGCAGACCCAGAAGAGCCAAAGGAGATCAGCCCAGACACTAAAACGAGATCCGTGGTTTTTGGGAGTCTGGGCTCTGCTCATCGTATGGCATGATGGCAATGGACAACCAGTGTCCTTTCATGGCTCCCCCTGATAGGCACCACAGTACTTGCAGCTACTGGAAAGCAGCATTGTGTTACGGAATCATGGAATCATTATGGAAAAGACCGCTAAGATCCTAAGTCCAACCATCAGGGCCTCTCAACCAATGACTGACAAAGCCAGCGTTTTAATGGCATCACCTTCGGTTTCTTCCAAAGAGGCCCTTGAAAATGAAGATATTCTCAAGGAACACTCGAAGAGGGAAACTTCTGTATTGGAACTATCACCCCGGCACAGCCCCACGTGGAGCTGTGATGGGTGCGCGGTGTCCCTGTCCTTTGGCTCCAAGGCCAGTCACAGAGGGGCTTTGGACACTCACAAGAGCGCCGTCTTTTTTCCGCAGCTGCTTTCCTAGAGCAGAACCGCGCTGCAGCATTGCTGGAATCAAAGGGCTCGTGATACCCTCCCTGCTTTGCTTAACCATCAGTTTGTCTGGGGCATGAACTCTGCCAGCAGCAGCTCCTGCAAGGCGCTCAGCTCCTTCTTTCCCCTTCTCTCCTTTTCGCAATGCTTTCTCGTTCCCCCGCTCCCTGTCTGCCTCCCCG